GCCTCTGGGGCCGTCTTGGGGGGTTCTTGGGCAGTCCTGGGGCTCTCTTGGGCCGTCTCGGGGCCATTTGGGGAGCCTCTTGGGCCGTCCTGGGGCGATCTTGGGGGCCTCTGGGGCCGTTTTGGAACGTCGGGAAGCCGAAAAGGCGGGAAGGTCAGAATCCTTCCCAAACCATCGTAAAATCTATGATTTTGGCCTCTAAGGGTCCTCTTCTGAGGGCTCTTGGAGGCTTCTTGGAGCGTCTCGGCGGCCTCTTGCGCCGTCTGGAGGTCATCTTCGGCTTCTTGGAGCGCTCTTTGGGCGTCTCGGGGGCTTCTGGGGCGGGGGGTCTTGGGGCCCTCTTGGCCCGTCTTGGGGCCCTCGTGGGCCCAGAAAAGCCCCCCCCCCGGAAAGCGGACCACGACTCGTCCCCCCTCCCCCCCCCCTCCTCTCTTCCCCGGCAGAGCCACCCCGGCCCCCCAGCAGAGCTGAAGCTCAGGCTCTAGGCTGTAGGCTGTAGCTGAGACTCGTTCCAAACTCGCACGCCGGATCGAGTTTGCCAAGAAGCACGGCTTCGTGGTTTCGGAGCGGTCGGATGCCCATTTACTTGGCGAGGATCTGAACCTCCAGGACTATGACGACCTGCTGGCCGAGATCGGCTTCTGAGGCTCGGTGGTCGCCGCCCGCCTCTCGCTGCGAGGACGGGCACTCCCAGGAGCTCCCCGGCCGCGATGGTGACCGAGGCCACCCTCGGCGTCGGCGCTCGGATTTCCTCACGAGCGGCGAGCAGATCCACGCGAGGCGCTCCAGCGAGGGCCTCCTCCTCCTCCTCCTCCTCCTCCTCCTCCTCCTCCTCCTCCGCGGAAGCCCGCGGAAGTACAACGAGGCCGCCTCCGCCAGCTGAAGACCAGCGGAAGTACAAGATGCGCCCCCAAGAGGTGGCAACATTGTCACGCTCAGGGGTTGCGGAGCTTGCTATGTCCACGCCCTCGGGGTCTGGATTCCGGGCCGCGGTCCCATGGATGCGCGGTCGCACGGGTGCGCTCCGCGCGGGGCATCCGCGAAGGAACGCCCCATAGCCACGTGGTCGCCGCCAAGGTCCAACCATGACTCGACCAGCGCCCAGGGGATCGACCTTCGAGGACCTCGGCATGCAGTGGGTATCGACATGTTCTGGACCCTCGGGACCGACATACATCATTATGCACGGATCCCCGCTTCGCACCAGTGGCCCAGCCCGCGAGGGCGCGGATACGAGAAAATGTTTTCCGCCCGCTCGTCGGCCAGCCCAGGTGGAAGGCCAGAGGTGGCGGGCTTTTTCGGAGAGCTCGAGAGGCTCCTGGCCGACGGAGGAGGTTCCCGAGCCCCATCCCGAGGCAGAGGCGGCTCACCAGATGGCCCCAAGGCCTCGGGAAGCCCCGCCGCCGTCGGAGGAGGCCTGCCCCCTCTGGCCTTCCCCCCCTGGCGCGCCGCCGACCCTCGAGAGCTCATTGCCTGCCGGATGCGGGTGCGGGGCCCCAGGCTGCTCGCGCCGGCGGCGACGCGGAGGCCGGTGGGGTCGAGCGCCTCGCCGACGTCTCTTGGCATCGCTCGGACGTGTGCATTTTTCTCGGCGAGAACCATCGAGGACCATCCTGGACCATCGAGCAAAAAAAAAAAACACGCACGAGACCGAAACATGCACGGGAAAGGGACGTCCGAGCGACGGCAAGGTCTGCGGGCGAGGCGCGGAAGGCCTTGCGGCGGCGCCCTCGGCCCAGGGCTGCGGAGCAGCGCCGGGCGTGCCGCGGCGCGAGGCGCTGCAGAAAGGGCTCGCCGTTTTTGGCAACCGCGGTGTCCACTCTCCCTCCTCGTCCTCCTCCGCGTCTTCCCCCCTCTGCCCGAGTCCGGAGTCTGGGGCCATTGCAGGTTGTAGCGTTCGGCATTGTTGAGGTTAGTCTCGCTTCATTCTCCTCAGCTTTCTTCTTTTTCCTTCCATGCAAAGGAAAGAAAGTGCCTCGCCTGTAGATCGGGTCTAGCCAGGGCCCTGGGTAAGGGGATCCCGTTAGTGATAGGGCCCCGAAGCCAAAACATATGCCAGAATCCCTAAACCAGGTCTGCGTCAGCTTGTGTTTTTCGGATGACGGCAGTTCTGGTTAGTGGTATGGGGGAAGCGTCCCCAAGCGCATATCACATCACTAAACCAGGTCCCACTAAACCCAGTCCTGCCAATGCCCGATCAGAGGAGGCGTGGGTATCGTTGCTCGTCCTCGGCGGAAGGCGGTGAAAGCAACACGAGGGTGGCGCCGCCGGCGGAAGCTGGCGGAAGGCCCGTCGGAAGTAACACGTGCGCGCCCTTGGCATATATTTTTTTTTTGGGGGGGGTCGGAATGAGCCAGCGAGTGGATATCGGAATGAAGGATGATCGCGACGACGGCAACGACGGTGATGTTGATGGGCCAGTTGCCCGAGGGGTGCACACATCAGAGGCTGCCTGGAGGGATTCTGGCCTCAGGTGCCCCCAATTTTTCGCGCCGTTTCAGAGCCCCAGACATCCCTCCTCGAAATCAAACGCAGGTTTGTCCCACAACATGGCGACGCCCCCGGACCCCCAATGTTCATGGGAAGGCCGCCAGTGGCGACTGCAATCTTTGTTGATGCCCCCGCGGGCCGCGCTGCGCGCGCCCATCAACACTGAAATTCGAGGGCGGGGGGGTCGGAGAATGGCTTTCGTTCGATCTCGAGGAGGGCTGCAGAGCCCTCTGGGCGTCGTGAGGAGTACTCTGCAGGCCATCCTGGCCTTCTGGAGCCGCTGGGGTCACCTTGGGCCAGGTTGGGCCCCTGGCAACGCCCGAGTACAGGGTGCTTGGCAGCATTCCCCAGGGAGGCCTTGCCCTAAATCGAGCACGTCCCTCTACGAGAGGAGTGTTCAACATTGGTTAAAGATAGTACGGTGGCGATGTTTCGTGCTCTTTGACTATTGCTGATGTTTGCTTGACTATGTTTCGATTTGTCTTCCAAAATTCGCCTGTAGGAGGACATGCCCAACCTAAGCCTTGCCTCTTAAGCAGCTATTTGGACTCACGGCGCCTCGGGGTCATCAGGCTCACCCCCTCCCCGATGGGGTCTGCTCGCGGTGAGCCCCACCCGCCGCTACGACGAACAACAGCAGGAGAAGGAGGAGGGGGTGGAGGTAGAGAAGAGGGGGAGAAGAAGGAGCCAGAGGAGGAAATGGGGGAGGAAGTTCGAGGAAGAGCAGCAGGAACGAGGAGGAGGAGGATGTATCGAAGAGGGAAAGGATAATAAGAAGAAGAAGAAGAAGAAGAAAAAAAAAAAATGAAGAAGAAGAAGAAGTTGGATGAGGAAATGGGGCAGAATGTCGCACGAAGAGCAGCAGAAATGACGAGGAGGAGGACCAGAGTAGACAGCAGCACGCGCCACTGATTCTGCAAAGCCCGCCTGTCCCGCCTTCCCCAATCGTTGGAGTGAGAGAGTTCCGCCCGCGCGGGTTGGCGGCAGATGCCGTTGCTCTTTCTTCCTCCGGCTGGCAGGGCCCGCGGCGTCGTGCGGCGCAGGGGGGTGGGGGCGGAAGCCGGGAGAGAGAGCGCCCTGGGGGTTCGGAGCGACGGCATGCCCTCGCGAAGAGCAGCACCCGCCCGAACAGCTCTCAGTGCTGATTCCCAGGCCCTCCCAGCCGCTTGACAGACGACGTGGCCGCACGGCCCGCGCAGAGGCTGGAGGAGAGAGCAGGGGCGGCGCAGCTGGTCAGATGAGCAGGGCGAGCGTGCTGCTGACGAGCGCGACTCGACTGCCAGAGCCTCGCACCCACTGCAACGAGGCATCCCACATTCCGCAGCCCTGACATCCGCCGATCTGATTTTGGCCCGATCCGTGGCTCCAGAGGTCCCGACCGCTTCCCCAGGGGTGGTTCCTCGTCCGGGATCCGCTTTTGATGGTCATGGGGCCCCATGACCGGCTCTAGAGGCCAAAATCGGGGGAGTGGAGTACGCCGGGGTTGAACGAATCAGGGTATGGTTGGCGATCTGGGAACGACGCCCTTCCCACAGCCTGGGCCTCCACCCCAGGCCTCCCAGCCGGGCTCCGAGTAGACGGGGTCGAAGGATGTCGCCGCATCGCTGATGCACCGGCGATGCGGGTCGACGCGGATCCCGATCTTTCCGCGCCGACGTCGCCGACGCATCGCCGAGGCGTCGCTGGTGCATCGGCGATGCAGCGGCGATCATCTGCGAGGCCTCTGCGCCCCACGTCCAGGTCGAGAGGCTGGGATGGGGGGGGGCCTCCTCCGCAGCCGCGAAGGCCCAGGCTGCCGAGCGCCATGGGCCGGTGCCGCCGCCGCCCCCGCCGTTGCCCGGGGCCCGCCGCGTGCCGCCCGTGGGGTCCGCAGAGGTGGAGCCCGCCCTCGCCGCGCCACGGGCGCGCGTGGGCCAGGGGGTCGTAGGAGGAGGAGGTGCCGATGCCTCTCTGCGCACCAGGCGCCGCACGGAGGTAGTTTCTGAGGTTCAGATGCCAGTCCACTTCGAGCGCCTGCCTGCCGCAGGAACCGGCACATTGTTGCTGGTTGTTATTCTTTGGGTGGGCCCAGGCCCAATCTGCGGTATCCGCCTTCCTGCTCAATGTTTCTACCCACTTCTTCCGACTTTGGCGGTTAGGCCACCCAGATGGGGTCGGAGTGGAGGATAGCGCCGCATCGGCGACGCGGGTCAATGCGGAGCCCCAGCTTCTCCACGCCGATGGCGCCGATGCATCGCCGACGTCGACGATACAGTGGCGATACATCGCCGACGCATCGGTGATGCATTGACTATGCGGCGCGATCATCGGACCCCATGTATTCGGACCCGATTTGGGAGGCCCAAAGCACCGCTGCCCTTGCATATTGTTTTCCGTTTTGGGTTTTTGTTTAGAGGCTCGATCGTCCTCAGGACGGGCTTTAGCCCAGCGTGTGCTTACCCGATAGCACGCAGCCTGCGTCGGCCCTCAATGCACCGGCTGCGCCGAATTGACGTGCTTCGGTGAACAAGCATACGCTGGCGCTAACACACGCTCTGGGGATCATCGACAGGCCCTCGTCGCCACCGCTGGATTCGCCTCGTAATTCTGGTCACAGCGCACCCCAGGAGAGGTCTGGGGATTAACGGTATTGGTACCTTCTGGTTTCCCTACGTGGCCTGGGGGCGCCATGTCGCTGGAGGGCTCCCCGCGCTCAGGGTCGCAGGCCGCGGGTGCCGCGGGGCACGCGAAGCCGAACCCGAAGCAGAGCTGGGCCAAGCTCTTGGACCGGGTCGCCGACAGCGAGAAGGGCACCACCGCCAGCATCCGGGTGACCAAGGTGGACAACGACCGCACCAAGCTGCTGAAGGAGGTCCTCAATTGCGCGGCCAAAGCCACGATGGGTACTCGCAGGCCCCCAGAGGTGACGAGCGGGACCAGCATGTTTGAGGGCTGCGACACCATCGAGGAGGTGCACAAGGTCAAGGAGCGCTACGAGTCCATCTCCGGGGTGCCCTCGCGCTCCAGCAGCAAGGCCGTTGCAGAGCCAGAGAGGGCTGGGCTCGGGGCGTCGTGCACGCTGGACGCCGAGTCCGTGCTGAGCGTGGCGGCGGGCATCGATCCTGCCCTGCGGGGCGTCCTCGCCAACGCCGGCCAGCGCCTCGCGGGCCTCCACCTGTGCCTGCAGAGCGAGTCCGAGCCCCCGGCCTGCCCGGGGCCGGTGCAGGCGGCCGGGGCGGCCACGGGGGCGCGAAGTTGTGCGCAGTTCGCGGCCCTCCTCGCCCCCCTCTTCTCCCCCGGGGGCGGGGGGGGGGCTCGGCACGAGGGCGCGGAGCTGTTCGCGGTGCGCGACTCGCGATGCCTCATCCTCATCCTCCTCGCCCCCCTCGAAACAGAAGCCACTTCCGAGTTTTTGTTGTTGTTAGTTACTGAAGAACTCCAGACAACCACAGAATCAGTCTGAACATTCTCGACCTCGTCGTTCATCACAGCCTTAAGATTTTCCTGCCAATCCTCATTCCGAAGTCGTTCGCGCCCTCGTGCTTCGCGGAGCGCAGAGCGCCAGCAAGTGGCCGCCCCCCCGAGCCCGAGGCGCCGTCGCTGCGGCGCGACGTGGTGCTGGTGAGCCGGGGCGGGCCGGCCAGGCAGGGCGAGCTGCAGCGGCTGGAGGAGGCGTCGGACGGGGCTCACCACCCACCAAACCACCCCAACCCAACCCGAAGGCTCAGATTTACCTTCGATTTCCAGTGGGGGGGGGTCGGGAAACATCGAAAAAACACATGCGGAGCCCTTACCCCCCCCCCAACCCGAAATTCGGGTCTTCGGGTTGGGTTGGGGTGGTCTGGTAGGTAGTCAGGGGCTGGGAGGAGGACGAATCCGTTCCAGAGCGCTCCAGAGCGCTCGCAGAGCGTTCCGGATCGCTCTGAGGAGGCCGTGGCGCCCGAGACACATCCTCCAGATCGCCGGATTTCTCTGAGTTTCTCGATGTGTCCTCACCCGACTTTATCCTCGTCCTGGCTTTGTCTCAAGGCGGCCGACCAGTTCATCGACCAGTTCATCCAATTCGGGCCCTTGGACGCGCTGGACGCCACCTTCGCGGATCCTTGCGTCGACGACGCCGCGCTGGCCGAGGCGTTCCCTGGGCGCTCGGACCACAACCCAGCGCTCGTCGGCCTGACGGACTACTTGCTGGAGCGCCCGGAGGAGTGGCGCCGCACCATGCAGCGGATCCAAAGCAACGCCAGCTTCACGGTGAAGCAGCGGGCCGCGCGGCCGTCGGGCGATGAGAAACAGGCACATACACCAATCCTGGCCAGGCCCACCCTGGGCCCAGGACCGGTGCGCATGCCTCTCTGGGCCGAGCTGGGAGGGCGCATCAAGGACGCCCTCGAGGGCGCGAAGTTATTCGTGCTGCGCGCTTCGCGCTTCGGCTCCGATCCCTCCACATCCTCCTCTTATCCCCTGGGGGGCGGCGCGAGAGCGCGAAGTGATTCGCGCAGCTCGAAGCGCGAAGTTAGGCACCCTTGCGTGTGCACCCATCCTGGAACCGGGATGGGCCTGGCCATGATCGGTGCATGTGCGTCTATTCTTTTGCCCTCCAGGCAGGTCTGCCTGGAGACCTGCCCCAGCGCCCTCTCCTTGCACAGCGCCAGCTCCGAGGCCCCCTCGGGCCCAGAGAGCGCGCTGTCCGGGGGGGGGGGCGGGTCGCGGCAGCAGCACCGGGCACTCCGCACCGCGACGACGCCGTTTGGGTCGACGCCGCCGGCGCAGCCGCGGGCCCGGGGGAGAGGCTCGCTCGGGGTGCTCAACCCGTTCGGGGACCCGCAGGGCTGAGAGCGGGTCTGCCCAGCGGCCCCGCCCGCGGATGTGAACTTCGCCCTGCGCACCTTGCTGCTCGCTGCGTGAGCTACTGCTGTGCCTTGCTGTTGCGGCCCAGCACACTGCCAGAGCTGGCGGGACTCGCCCTTCGCCTTGTCTGCCTCCAGCGGCCGGCGCACCGAATCGCGTCCGCCTCCTCCTCCACTCCTTTCCCTTTTATGAATAGCTCCTCCCTGTCGCACCCCGAGGACAGTCGGAAGGGCGGGCCGGGCGTTTCGCTTGAGACTTCCTTACCACTTGATTATGAGCCTGAAGATGAGAAACTGGCAGCAGCTTCACAGATGGAGGACGGGCCGCTTCCAAAATGTGGCTCTCGCCGTAGCGCCACGCACATTTTCTTTAGGAAATTTGCAAGAGCTTGACGGAGTGACGACAGGTGGTTTTCAAAATGTGGCCCTCGCCTTGCCGCGCACAGTCGTTTTAATAGTTCGCAAGAGTTTCACGGACTGAAGGCGGCTCGTTTTCAAAATGCGGTTCTCGCTTTAGCGACGCGCACATGTGTTCCAAAAGTTTGCGACAGTTTCACGGATTGAGGGTGGTTCTTTTTTCAAAATGCAGTTCTCGTTTCAGCACCGCGCACACTCGTTTCAGCCAGATGCAAGAGTTACATGTGTTCGTTCTCATGGTGAACTTTCCAGAACGGTATTTTGCAACAGCTGAGGACAGTCAGGGCGCAACAGTTACGTTGATTCGCGGTTGTACAATCCCAGGAATGGTGTTCTGACACGACTCAGGACCGTCAAGGCGCAGCAGTCAGGTTGACTCGTGGCGTTGAAGTCTTGAAAATGGTGTTTTGGCACGCTGGGGGGGGGGCGTATTCCAACATCGTTAACGAGTTTTGGGTTTACACGGGTCCTCTTCCTCCTCAGCCTCTTCTTCCTCCTCCGTAGCCACTTGGGCTCAAGATGCCTGTATTGGGGGGTCCAGCGCCTTCGTGCATCATTTGAAGCTGCTATTCCGCAGCAGCGCCACGACGGTTCAGTCTGACAGCTTTTGCGAAGACTGGTCCGCCTCAGCCTCTCGCCTGCGCCCGTTCACTCGGGGAGCAGTGCACGCATGGATGGGAAAGAAATATGGGCGTGCATGGAGTTGGTGCGAGGGTTGCCAGAATTGGGCCTGGAGCTACGAGCCCATCGCCAACGACGGGCTCTGCAGATGTGGGCAGAAAGTGGATGCGTGGAACCCGTGGTCCAAGGGTGCGAGCAATTCCAGCCGCCCCGACGCCAGCACGAAGCAAAGGCGTGACCTGCTTCGGGCCGCGGACCTCCCAGCGAGGTGGCGCTCTTTTCTCCGCGGATCGTGTGTTGGCGCCCCTGCCGTCCGGGAGCGGCCGCCCGATGGTCGAACGGTGACAGCACGAGCAGTGGCTCGCGGCACTCACTGCACCGGGTGGGCCCCGAAGGCGCGGCGCGGCGCGGCCGGGGGCGCGGAAGAGTAGCTGGGCCCCCGCGCGGGGCTTTTTGGCGGCCTCCTTCCCCCGAACGCACGGCGCCGCGCGGCGCGGACAAGACAGGACACATTGGCGGGCGACAGCCCAGAAACCCAACCCATGGCAGGGCGCACTCCACGGAGTAGGGTCCCCGTTTGCTTCGACGTGTACACATCTGCGCAGTCAGGCACGTCAGCTTGCGGGCCCCCCCGAAACATCTAGCGCTTCAACTTTTCCGACGCGGCGGCAACTTCATAGCGCTTCAAAACATCTAGCGTTTCAAAACATCTAGCGCTTCAAAACATCTAGCGCATCTAGAGGCTTGGACAATTCCCTCACGATGTTTCTTTCCCCGAGGGTCGTTTGTTGGCGTTCCCGCAGTCCGAAAACGGCCTCCAGAGGCCGAACACTGCAAGCAGTGCGCATTGGCTCGCGGATGTCTGGGCTCCCCGCGCGGCACGGCACCGAGTGGCCCCCGAAGGCACGGTGCGGCACCCAGCAGTCCAGGGAGAGCTGTCCAAGTTGAGAACTTCCCTGACATATGTTTAAGTTATTCGCTTTCCCTCTCCACAGCATCAGCATTACGATCCACATCCTCGCCGCCACTTCCCTCTTCATCACCAACATAAGGATCATCATCTTGATCACCATTATCGCCGTTATCTCGTCATCCCGTCATCGTCATTACCTCCGTCGTCATCATCAAACACGACGTGCCCAGACGGGCGGGGCGTTCGCTTCCATCGTTGCGGACTCCACGGGGGCCAATCTAAAACCAAAAAACAAGTGAGCAACCCTCACGGTAAAATTGGATTACCGGGGACCCCTACTCAAGTAATATTATCTATATATGAGAAAAAATTGAAAGAAGGAGAATGAGAAGGCGGAGTAATTGCCCAGATGGGCGAGGCGCTACCTAGTATTACGACTACTACTACTACTACTACTACTACTACTACTACGACTACTACTACTACTAATACTACTACTACTACCACTACTACTAGTACTACTGCTACTACTACTACCTACCTACCTACCTACCTACCTACCTACCTACCTACCTACCTACCTACCTACCTACCTACCTACCTACCTACCACTACTACTACTACTACTACTACTACTACTACTACTACTACTACTACTACTACTACCTACTACTACTACTACTACTACTGCTACTACTACTACTACTACTACTACTACTACTATTACTACTAC